CGGCCATTCATTGTGGGCCAGGCCGCCCCAGCCGAACGCCGAGCGAGCGCACGCCGCTGCGGAAAGCAGCGAAACAGCCCCGCCCTCTGGCCCCGCCCCTTAGGCCAGTTTAGCTGCGTTCTGAGCGCTTCGCTTCTCACCGGCCTTTTCTTTCAAGGGCTTCAATTCTGTAGGTTGTCCAGTTCGAATCCCAACTCCGCCATATTCTAGTTCGGGAACTATGGGGGAAGTCGTTCTGCCTCTGCGAATTTTAGTTTCCTGTAAAAATGAAAATGACTTATGGTGCTAGGCATTGTTTTAGGCTTTTTGGAAATAAGCTAGTTGCACGGAGACGAAACCTGCTCAAGATCACACAGTGATGGCAGATGCCAAGATTTAAACTTAGGTTCAAGAGGTCAGTAAAGGACTTTTAGGATGCTTACCCAATGCCAAGTTCCGTTAGCATTTTCCACTAACCCACGACTCGTAACTATGGAGAAACTAAAGAAGAGATAAGAAAAAGTAGCGAGGGCTGACTCAGTGGTTAAGAACATGTACTGCTCTCGCAGAGGACCAGAGTTCAATTCCCAGAATCCAAGTGGGGCAGCCCGCAACCTTTGTGTGTAACTCCGTCTCTAAGGTATCAGATACTTCCGGCCTCCTTAGCTACCAGCACGCAGGCCACATAAACACACAGACACATATAATAAAATTTGGGGGCTGGAGAGATGGCTCCTCGCTTAAGGAGCACTGGCTGCTCTTGCAGAGGACCAAGGTTTGGCTCTCAGCACTCACCTGGGGGCTACCAACTGTAACTCCAGTTCCAGAAGAATGTGACACCCCCCCCTTTTGTTCACCGTGGGTTTTTTGTTTTTGTTTTTTTTTTGTCTGAGACAGGGGCTCCCTGTAGCCCCAGCTGTCCTGAAACTCACTATGTAGCCCAGGGTGGCTTTGAACTCCGAGTGCTGGGATTAAAGGCGTGCGCCACCACGCCCGGCTCTCTGTGGGTATTGTGTGTACTCATACAAATAAAAATAACTTAAAAAATAAAATCTTTTTTAAAAAAGCAATTAGTCAGATGCCGGGGGTGGTGGTGCACGCCTTTAATCCCAGCACTTGGGAGGCAAATGGATCTTTGTAAATTCGAGGCCAGCCTGGTCTACATACATAGCGAGTTCCAGGCCAGCTGGGGCTCACAGGGAGACTTTGTCTCACTCACAAAGGTCAAAAAAAAAAAAAGCAATTAGTCGGTCCCGCAGGAAACTTGCAGAGTTGGATGTCAATCTGGGCTACAAAGTGAAGTCCAGGACAGCTAAGTGAAATGAAACTCTCTTCTAGAAACAAAGAACAAGCATCGAGGACTAACCACCCGCGGCGTTCAATACGCTAGGCCAGAACCCGCAGAGCGTTTCCTGTCTGAGTGGCTGCTTTGCACACTTTCCAGGCATTCGGTTGTTTAATTTGTGGCCTTTCCTGGAAGTTAAGGTTCTTATTTAACAGGTAAGAAAAGCGAGGTCCGCTAGTTTAAGTAACTTGCCCGGAGTATGTGGTATGACTGAGAGTGAAAGCCTGCAAATCCTATTCCAGAGCCCGAGTTACTCCTGCCAAGCGCACAGGAGAGGATCTACAGGCATGAAATTTTCTGAACTGTAGTGAACCGAGATCGACTGAAAATTTCTACAGTGTACTCAGCTGGCTTCCTTTCCGCGATGAATCTTGATCCTGGTCGCCCACCGTGAGTAAGTTCATAAGTGGGCAGCTGCTGTCACGTGATCTACCCTCCCTCTGTGCCAAGATGGCGGCGCCCAAGTCCTGAGACGGGAAACGTGCACCAGATTGGATCCTCGGTGCAGGGAGGAGAGGAGCAGGGGCCCAGGTGATGCCGGGAGGGATCTAGGCGGGCCGGTGGGCGGGCTTTCGGTTTTCCCGGGGACAGTGCCCTGGGAAACGTGAGGGGCCGGCTTAGCGAGATCGCTAAATTCTTCCCTTAACGGTGCGCAGGCCACCCCCAGAATACAGCTTTCTCACCTCTCTATGCCCTCCTCCTCCCTCCCCCAGGCAGGCGTGCGGGTCTAGGGGCTCGCATGTCCCACGGGAGACTGTCGGTCCTGTGTCGAGGCCTCCCTCTCCCACGCCGCCTCTGCAGAGCCTGGTTTACGGACTGGAAGCCCCGGGGGCCGCCGACTCCCGCAGCGATGGAGAACGGCTCTGACTCCAGGCCTTGCGGAGAAGGGGGCGCTCCAGCGGCCCAGAAGGCGACCATCACCGAGGGCGCCGCCAGGATCGCCTTCCCCAGTGCCAACGAGGTTTTCTACAACCCGGTGCAGGAGTTCAACCGCGACCTGACGTGAGCAAGGGTCAGGGGTCAGCATAGCGGAGAAAAGTGGGTTAATGAGTGGAGGATATTACCGGGATATAAATCTGGGCTGCCCGCCGCTGTAAAGCCAGAGAGGAGAGTTGCTTCGAGGGAGTGAGTCAGTTTAAATCAAAGACCGGAATCTTGAAAGGTGAACCGGCTTAACCAAAGCTCCTTCTGCGGGGCTCAGTTCCACATGGGATTTTAATAGGGAGGGACAGGATTGTATACACCGTGTAGGGTCCTCGGCATCCGGGACATGTGGCTCCTTTTTCCCCCTCTTTTCTTGAACCTGGCTGTGGACTTGGAACTCCCAGAGCTAGTTGCTTTAGCTGTTTACACAGACTTTCCATTTACTTTTCTGCAAATCAGATTTCACATCAGTTTACATGCTTTGTGTAGGTTGATGAGGGCATGCCTTGCTAAGGTCACCATCATATTGTCTGGGTTTAATGAATCTAAAGAGTGAGCAGTTAACATTTTAACCCTTGAGGTGGGATTTCTCTTTATAATTTGTAATTTGGGACAAAGGGGAGGGCTTATGGATTAGGGAGGGGGGCCATAAGCTTTTTTTTTGATTTATTTATTTTTATTTTATTTATTGTTTTTATTTTATGTGTATGCGTGTATTGCCTGCATGTAGGTAAGTGCACCTGTGTCATGCAATGGCTGTGGAAGACAGAAGAGGCTGTCGGATCCCCTGAAATTGGAGTTATAGACAGTTGTCAGCTGCCATATGGGTACTGGGATTCGACCCCGGGC